AGAAGTTGCTAAGCCACTGTCTGTGATATTTGAAAAGCCGTGGCTGTCCACTGAAGCTTCTGCTGACTGGAAAAGGGGGAAGATAACTCTCATTTTTAAAAACAGAAAAGCAAAAGATGACCAAGGGAAATACAGGACGGTCGATCTCACCTCTGTGCCTGTCAAGATCATGGAGCAGATCCTCCTGGAAAATATGCAAAGGCGTATGCAAAATAAAGGTGACTGGAGACAGCCAACAAGGCTTCACTAACGGCAGATCGTGACACTGTCCCACATGAGATTCTTGTCTCTAAATTGGAGAGACATGGATTTGACAAATGGACCACTCAGTGGGTAAGGAATTGGCTGGATGGTTGCACTCCAAGAGTTGTGGTCAACGGCTCCATGTCCAGGTGAAGACCAATGACGAGTGGTGTTCCTCAGGGGCCAATATTGGGACACAATATGCTTTTTAACATCTTTGCTGGTGGCATGGACACTGGGATCGAGCGCACCCTCATCAAGTTTGCCCACGACACCAAGCTGAGTGGTGTGGTCAACATGCTGGAGGGAAGGGATGCCATCCAGAGGGACCTGGGCAGGCTGAGAGGTGGGGCTGTGTGAACCTCATGAGGTTCAACAAGGCCCAGTGCAAGGCCCTGCATCTGGGCTGGGGCACTCCCAAACATGAACAGAGCTGAGCAGAAAACAGATTATAGAGCAGTCCTGAGGAGAAGGTCCTGGGGGTGCTGGTTGACAGGAAGCTCAGCATAAGCCAGGCAATGTGGCTTTCTCCGGGGCTGCAAGCACAACCTGGGCTGTGTCAGTGTGGCCAGCAGGGTGAGGGAGGTGATTCTCCCCCTCTGCTCTGCTCTCATAAGACCCCACCTGGAGCTCTGCATTCAGCTCTGAGGTCCCCAGCACAAGAAGGAGATGGGCCTGTTAGAATGAGTCCAGAGGAGGCCCACAAGGAGGCTCAGAGGACTGCAGCACCTCTCCTATCAAGACAGGCTGAGAGGGTTGGGGTTGGTCAGCCTGGAGAAGAGAAGACTCCAGGGAAACCTTAGAGCAGCCTTCCAGGACTGAAAGAGGGCCTATAAGAAACCTGGAGAAGGAATCTTTATCATCAGGGACTACAGCGACAAACAAGGCCTAATAGATTTAAACTAGAAAAGGGCAGGTTTAAAGTAGATTTAAGGAAGGAATTCTTTACTGTGAGCTGTGGATGCCCCATCCCTGGAAGTGTTCAAGGCCAGGCTGGATGGGGCTTTGGGCAACCTGGTCTGGTGGGAGGTGTGGAGATGTCCCTGCCCATGGCAGGGGGGTGGAATTAGATGGTCCTTAACATCCCTTCCAACCCAAACTATTCTACAGTTTTTTAATCTTTGCTATTTATCAAAATGACATTGCTTCCAGCAAGTGTTGCCAGAAGCTAACAGCAACTTTAAGCAACTGACAAACATTACCCTTATTACCTGGCAGCAGCCTGAAGAAACTTATTTTCTAAGAGAAAATACTATATGCTATTAAATATTTATTATCTATTTTAATATCTATTCGTTCTATAAATTTTCAGGATCTCAAAAAGTGAGACTTCTTCCTGGGTTGTATTTTCAAGCAAGTCAGGTTTATCAGGACTGGAAGGAAATACCCTGCTTACAAAATGCAGCAATCAACCTTTTTGACGCCTGCATTCCCGACTCCTTCACTTCAAGACCCTCTCAAAGATACGCTGGGCTGGCTCCTCAAATTATTTAACAGACTTTTTACTCGGTGAGATCTGAGTTTATTCGAACCATGGAGTATTTGGGAGAGGGGAGGGCAGGCTTCCCTCGCAGGAGACACCTGCACCACCCAAGGCTGGCAGTGCAGTGCTCGGCTCTGGCCAGCAGATGGTGGCCGGAGCTCGGGAAAGGATTTTGCCGGGCAGCCGGAGACCCCTGCTTCCCTTCCCTTCCCTTCCCGGTGTGTCCAGCAAAAGGGCTGGCAGCTTGATGTCTCGGCAGCGGGCATTTACACCCAAACCGGCTACATTTAGGGTGCTGCAGCTGGTGGCACCGAAGCGGAGCCAGTCGCCTAGGCTGCTGGTCAGGGAATGGGGAAACTGAAGCTGAGCCCTAACTTCTTCTCTAATGGGGTGCAAGACATCGCATTAAAAGGATCTACACTTTAAGAATTATCCTTCCCGGATCTGCTGAAAGTTGCCTTTTCCTTTCTGCTGTTTTTTACAGCAATTAAACAAACCTGTTAAGCCCTCTGCAACAGAAATTCAGCGCACTCCCTATTTAACACGGTCATTTTTGTTCTTGTATTTGTGCACATGTAAGTCAAATTCTTTAAATCACATTTGTTGCCCAAATCAAAAACATGATCTCCTTTAACCATATGTACTTGAAAACTGACATATACCACCTTATGGTCTGAATTTTGGGGTAGACCTGTGTGAGGCCAGGAGCAGGACTCGATCCTTATGGGTCCCCCCTTCCAGCTCGGGATATTCTATGATTACGAGAGTAGAGTTTGCCATCACTAAAAGGCCAGTCTGGTGTTCCAGGCTTTAATAACAGACGAGCACTTGACAACAGAAAGAACTAATGGCTGATGGTGGGATTCCAACAGAGGAACAAAGAAACTACACTGAGATGGTTCAAAAAATGATCTCTGCAAGAGTTGTTCATAAGTGACATATGCAGGACAGAGAAAAGCAAGTTGCAGACCATTCAAGGCAATACCACGAATAAAAAGGCTTTCTGTAGACGAGTCATCAAGAAAGAATGTGTAAGATGTATGTATTGTTTAGCCATGAAAACCTAGATGGTATGTAGATTTCATCCTGAGTTAAAGACCACATGATAGCGTTGTCCACAGCAGTGGATAAATATAAGTACAAAACCTTCAACAATGGAGGTTCCCAGCTTTTATAAGAAGATACAAGAATAAGAGTTAGGTTTTAATCAAGATGAACTAGAACTGACAGCTAGACATCTAACAAAAGAGCTATGAAAAAGAACGAAGGAGAATTTTGCTTGCAGAGAGACAAGGTGTAGAGCAGATTATTTGAGTCACTAGAATAAAGATGTTAGCTGAATTTGGATTTGCAGATGAGATTAACCAGAAATACATGCAAAGGCAAAGAGATATGGAGACACCCCCCCAAAAAAAAAGGCCCATAGAGAACCTCCATAACTCTCTATGTGACATACTGGTAGGAGAATCACAAGAATTAAAAAAAAAAAAAAGACTTGTGAAAAACGAGAAGGCAGAAGACTTCAAGAAGTTGCCCATAATCAAAGTCCATGGAACTAAAAGCTACTTGCAAAGGATTAAAGGAGCTCAATTCATAGCTGCTTAGGCAGAGGACTATGAGGACTTCAATGCAGTTATAGTAAAATAGTATGACAGAAGCTGCAGTACAGGAAAAAAAAACAGGATGGAACTGGAAAAAAAAAATCTAACATACTATTTATGTTGCAAAGACAGCTTGATTGTCCTTACCTGAAGGTGACCAACTGATCATTTTTACCAGAACCAATCACCACCTTTTCCCTAGTATTTACATCCACCTCTTGGTGGGCTGCATTTTTTTGGTCAACTACAATTCTTGGCTACTCTCTGAAAGCTATTCTTAAGCCTCCTATTATTCAACTACCATTTAAAGCCGTTGCAATCAAAAATGACAAAGGGTGCTGATACATCTTAAAGTTCAATGATTTTGCTTTTCGGTTCCAAAATAACTAAGCACTAACGTACACTACAGCTCACAGATGTGATGCCAGATTATAACACTCGGGTGAGTACCCTGGAAAGGTTTAAGGAACACCGAAACTTTTCGTATTTGGCAGACTGATTCACTAACTTCACTGTGAAGGTTTCGGGGGACCTTTAGGCTAATGAAAGTCTCATAAAAAATCTTTGCAGATTTCTCAAGCTCAATACTGTTATATATGACCAAATTTATTCCTCCTACTGTGTGGCTCATATGAAAGTAAAAACATCCTTTGCCAGCTCCATTCACTTTTCCATTCTTCACACAGCCCTAGTCTTTATGGCTCTCCAAATCTTAGTATCAAATATCCTGGCGCGTAGTTTGAATATTCCATTCCCTCTAATCTTTTTCTGCACAAGTTCCATCCTACAGAGCAATACCAACAGAGTATCTCTTGGTAGTACTGCAGATTTTCCTACCAAAGCCACCTTGGACAGAGGAACAGACAAATCTGGCAGCAGCAAAAGACTTCATTCTCCAACCTTTTTAAATGGAACATGCCTCATTACCCTGCATCAACTTCTGAAGCTACGACTTACAGACTTATGGATTTTAAGCTTTGAAACCCATCTTGTGGTGTTGAAGTCTACACCACTGGGCTGTGCCCCTTTAAAGAAAGCAAGATTTGTCTTTTACATAGGGAGATGCTCACTTCTGTGACTACTGCTATTAGTTAAGAAGCTACTTCATCAGTTCTAGCAACCCAAAAAAGCAGTAAGGAAAAAACACTGATCTTGACAGCTCAAAAGCACCTGTAATCATTCTTCCTAACTATGCTCACTTTATCTCTTTGTGATAAAAAGTAGTAAAGTAGTAGTAGTAAAATCCCAGTGCTATCATAGCTGTGTATGTTCCTTTTGTTTTATAAGAAGTTTATCTTTCCTAGTATAAAGTGTGTTTTGTGCAACCCTCTCTATTTCAAACATACTAACCATTGACTGCATCAAAACACTCAGCATTAAATCAAGTAATAAAACAATCTCATTCTAACATCAAACAGCACTGAACAAAGCTTCTATTAGACTCTTTCCATTTGACTTGGATGATCTTCCTCGCCTCTTATCTCAGAAACATTAGAACTAGAATAACTACGACAAATATGCACTACATATCTAAAACCAGCTTTCGATTCGTCCACCTATTCTTGAAGAGTCAGGAGTTGGTCAGTTAAAAAAAATACATCTGCCTTGATCCTGTAATTTACAGAGTAAGAATGACTACATCTAAAAGGACTTATTTTTTGGCTACCACTCACCTGGTTAGTTAGAGGTTGCTGAATTCGGTCAGTGTATGATGAGGCAGAAACCTGTTGGTCGTTTATGTTCTGCTGCCGACGATCACTGTACTGCTGATGCGAATGGGACATCTGTCCAGCCATCTGAAGGCCAGCAGCATGGAATGAAAACGATGGTGCAAGCCGAACAGATGAAGGTTTGCATGCTGAAGTCTCTCCTCCTGTAAAAAGACAATGCGGGTTTTTAATGCAAATTCGATGGCTTTAAAATATTTACCTGAGTTGGTCTCCATCTCCTAGCTCAAAGAGTTTATAAGCACTTTCACCATTTTTTAATATAAACAAGAGTTGTCATACACAATCAACCCAGAAATTATCCTCATATGAAGATTGTTTAGCTGAAGTACCTCTTTCCATTTCAATTGTGACACATCATTCATTAATCATTTATTCATTTTTATCCCTAACACCCCATCTCTAACATCTTCACCTATGTGTCATAACTGGACTTTGGCAGGGATTATTTTCAAAAATATGAATCTTGTATGTGGATTAATTTCCAAGAAAAGCAGAAAATCACTCAAGATTCTGTCTTCAAGATGTTTACAGCTACTTTCTGGACTGATTGTACCAAAAGAAAAGAAAAGCTAGTGGCCAGCTTTTACTTTCTGGCCTCAATGGTTACAGTTTCCTACAAACTACTTAGATCACTAGCCTACATTCTTAACTTCCACTCTTCTTCCAATGTACACTGTGCTTCCTCTCAGTTTTTTGACTCCTACTGTTGAGTTTCATTGAACTACAGGTAGCAAGCACTGTAACTTCAATTAATTCTTTTTTGGGAAGGTGAAATCAGGCTGCAAGAACTAACCACAAAGCAAGAGACAAGCCACACGCTTGGTGTCAAGTTGCAGGAGAATGACAAACTGCACGGCCGAGGTATTATATTCCATAACATACTTAAAAATGCCAAATACCACAGGCACAGAAACTGCCTCTAACTGGGACAGATCCAACTCTTCTCAGCTGTTGTTTTAGATACATGGCATTTAATCGGTTCATAGTCTGCTTGTACCATCATTGCTCTCCAACAGCAGAAGACAAAATTAAGGTACAATTTGGTCGTCTTTCTTTGTTAATGAAAGTTTAGCATGTTCCACATGTAACATCGATCCTTTTACTTTTTGCTGACCACACCAGAGGAGAAAAACTCTCTAAATGGATGCCATAGTGGGACAACCTAAGAGAGAACAGGATGGGAAAAGCAGCCAGGCACACTGAAGCCAACATCACTACTGAAGGAAGATGAGTGGAATCAAAATCTAAAATCTGGAAGCACAATTATTGGTAAACATTAAATTTAGAAGCAAAATGTGAGATGAGCAATCTCCTTAACCATCAAGGGGAAACCCCATTTCCTTTACAATCAGAAACCTTGCAAGAAAATATCATCAGCAGAAAACAGGAGATGAACATCTCGCTTCAGTTTGACTTCCATAAAAATAACTGACTGCTCTACTTACCACCTGTTCGAAGTTAAGAAAAAATAAAATACTGAAAATGACAGCATGTCACTGACTCGGCACCCAGTAGGGCAGTAAACGAACTGCATGGGATGAAATCAAACGCCATTTTAAACTAAGAACATTTTAGAAAAATGTATTTATTAAAGTACCTTTGAAATAATATTCAAACATCTATAAATAAGAAAAACTAAGTACAGTACAATCACTACTACTAAAAATGGGTGAAGTAAAATTATTTCATGAAATACCTACTGACAGGTAACTGGTGTTCTTAAGTGTTATAATTCGGTACTACTAAAATGCTATAAAAAAAAAACTGCTCCAGAAGATGAACACAAGCCCACATTGCCCACAGGTACCAAAAAATTTCTCAAAGCTTCATTAAATCTTCAAACACTTGACCAAAGCAAGAAAAAAAAAATACACAAATTAGCTATGATATATGAAAACAACTCTTTTGTGTGCAGTGTGTTGCTTCTAGTAACACGAATAATCAAGACAATCATACAAACAGAAACAAGATAAATAAGTTCTTGACCTAAAAACATCATGAACTAAGTAAGCTTAACATTGTTTCCAGTACCTAAACAGGGCCTATAGGAAAGCTGGAGAGGGACTCTGTCAGAAAGCATAGTGACAGGACAAGGTTTAACAGCTTTAAATCAAAAGAGGGGGGATTTAAATCAGGTATTAGGAAGAAATTCTTCACTGTGAGGGTGGTGAGGTGCTGGACCAGGTTGCCCAGAGAAGCTGTGGGTGCCCCATCCCTGGAGGTGGGTGTTCAAGGCCGGGCTGGATGGGGCTTTGGGCAGGTGGGAGGTGTCCTGCCCATGGCAGGGGGTTGGGATTAGATGGTCTTTAAGGTCCCTTAAAACCCAAGCCACTCTGTGATTCTGTGATTCTATGCACAATAGATTACTCTTAATTATTTTGTAAAGATCCATTAAATATTGCTTTGTGATCCTAGTAAGCTCTGAAAGTTAAACTGTCCTCCAACATTTAAAGATGGTGAAAATATCAGTAAAATATTTGAGTGTAAACTTTTAAAAACATTTGTATATTTTTCTGTAAAGCAACATTCCAAGTATCATCTTATGTCCACCTACCATTTGGGCAACAGATTGTCACCTTTTTTAAATCTAAAATTATTTCTGATGAACTTCACAAGCTCATACTTCAATACGAGGGAAAACATATGCAAAGATTCCAACATATCGGCTGATCTTTCTGAAAGATAGCATGGTTGCTTTAGGTATTTCTGCATCTGTCACTTGGATCACGTATAAACTGTGTACATCTTTTCACATTATTTTCTTAATACTTAAATTCTGTTTTTACTAGGAAATCAAAGTTAATCTTCCATTTATACAAATTAAACAGTAAATTCAGCGTATGCTAACTTTTCAAGATGTGCTGTAAGAAGGGGTGAATACATCTCAGAAAATATTTGGTATGTCTGGTTTCTGTTGTTTTTATTTCTGACAAGTTTTGGTTAACTTGAAAATAAAAAACTCATTTGACAATTTGACATTGCGGTGACTGAATTCAAAGTCAAAACAATACTTACATCAGATAGTCAAAAATATTAGCTTATAATAAATTTTAGAGCCTTCTACTTGTAAAGTTTTATTTCCTGTTTTGTTGTTGTTGTTGTTGTTTTTGTTTTTAAACCCCGGGCAAGTTTCCCAATAGCATACTAGATATACTTAGCAAAGCAGATAACTTAATAAAAACAAATTTAATTTTAAAAAATCTTCACTTGCACATGTCCCTGAAAAGCAGAAAACTCACACATACAAAAATCCCATGCACAGAGTTCTCGTTTATCCTTTGACCCCATCGTATCTTCTGACACTACCTCAAAAGATCACAATAAATCTGAGGATAAAACAAATAATGCACTGGACACAGTTTAAATTAAAAAAAAAATAAAAATAGAAAAGGGTTAGAAGTATACTTAGCCCCCAAAAGAACGCTTGCTTCACGTCAGCTTTAAACTTTTGAGGCAGGTACACCCTTCCCCTCCTGATTCCACTAGCAGGATGATACGGCTGTAGCATCCCTGGTCTTCCAAACTGAAGACTGTCACATGGATCAACTCTTAATTCAACAGCAGTGTCCCAGAAAGATCAATTTCATGACTTATGACAAGGAGATTGGACTGTTGAATCACAAAGAAAGCTTCACTAAGAACCAGTTTGACAAATAACTTACTCATTCAATTTAATTTTTTTTTGGACGTTCAGTGTCTGTGACTAACTATTTGCTTGGAGGTAAGTCATACACAAACAATGATGTCAACGTACATCAATCAAAATTGTCTCCAACAAGAAACTTTTTATAAGGCTATTGCTCTTTGCTAGAAATGTAAAACAATTTCAGAGAGGAACACTGAATTTCAGAAAAGGGGCACTATTAAATAAAAGAGCCTGCCCACAGCCTGATGAACTGAAGCCTGTTAGAAATAGACAAGTAGAAACTGGTTGGTTATATAGTATGTTCTTATACCAAAGAAAGAGACATTTTAATAGTATCTGTGATGATGGCCATATTCAACCCTTAAAAAAAAATAGCAAAAAGCAAGAACCACCTGGGTGAAAAGATTAAGAACCGTTAACTATATGCTCTGAAAGATCAGTAGCCAAGTAATTTCCATCTTTACAATTTCCTAGTGTCACTGAAACGGAGACACAGAAGTTCACAGATTTCTCTTCCTGAGAGCAGTGTTAGCTATCATCAAAAAACAAGCAATGTTAGCAATGTCCAGGATATGGTCCTTGATGAAACACTTGACCTCATTAGATTTCAGTCTTTGTTCCATGATACCTGCAATCAAAAAGCTAAGCCCAAGAGAACCTTACTACTCTATATTGCTATGTGCCGAGCAACACCTAATAACATCAGGAAGAAATGAGGGGAGAATGAAGAACTGGCTAGAATAGCAATCCCAACCTCTTTAGTTTTAGGCTGAGGAGCCAGCTCTAGAAGAAAGAGCATTTCTTGGCGTGGATATTAACTGAGGTTAATGAATATTAACAAACCCCACAGTGGCCCAAAGTTCTGGAGCTCTAGACATTCAGAAAATGAACCAACCCATTGACACCAGAATCCAACGGAGCTCATACGCACCACACATCCATACTACATGGTAGAAATATCTAAGGAACAAGTTCTAGTCAGTCATCAATTTTCTTTTCTAACCACTGTATCCTGAAATGATAGCACTTGAAGAAGCAACTTGGGAAAGAAACAAAGTGACAGAAAACAAGCATGCCAAGATCTCTAAGCAAGGAAGTAAATTAAGGGAAGACATTGCAGATTGGCAATGGGTAGAATTACCTAAGCAATAGGGTTTACCTATGTGTTAGGTCAAGGAGTAGCATAAAGACACGTAGTTGAAAAGCCAAAATAATTTGTTTGCCTTTGATGAGACTGTATCAGAACTTGTTATGACAAGAAGGTCCAACTCCAGAAGGCATCCCTCGTTTCAGCCTTGAGAGTGTAATTTCCTATAGTTGCAAATACAACAGCTCTTTGAAGTAAAGCTGTTCAGAATGCTGTATTTCATTAGTCATATTCCATAGACCATAATATAAGCAAAATATAACTAATAACAAGAGTAACTTTTTTGTCTTTTGTAAATTTACCGTCTTTGGAAAGTAACAAGTGAGTAAGAAGCGAGCATTAATAAAATC